CAGTCGACCTAGGATATCCGTGTTGCCGCTTGTGGGCAACCGGTTTACTCTTGCTAGGATGTCGCCCGCTAGGCGTACATCCACGTCCCAGTCCACTCGACTTCTTCGAGTGGCGGGCCTCCAGCGCCTCCTGTACTTCTATACAGCCGCCGGGAGCTTGCTCCACAGTGTAGTGATCAACTACACTGTGATCTTGTGCAGTCGTGCTAACGACCGTACCGCAAGTGAGGCCATCGCACTCACTCGCAGAACATCCACACGCTTGTGGACGCTCCAAGATGTTCATCAGATGGCCATCTGATGAACAAGCGGCAGGCATCTTCACGGATCGATGCTGCCAGCTCACCCTTGGCTCGTACCTTCTGAGCCAAGGTAATCCCAGGATGACATCAAATTTGTCATCCAGATCCAGTACGATGAAGTCATCATCGTATTGTTCGCCCTCCAACGTGTAGTGGATTCCTACTACTCGTTTCTTAACGGTAATCGATGCGCCTGTTGCAAGGAGCACCGTCATCCTCGTGAGGGGAATGTCGCGCTCAACGGACTTGAGCCTACGACCCTCTAGTGAATGGCGACATACAAAGTTGTCCGACTCCCTACAGTCTACTAGGGCACAAAGCGACAAATCATTTGTCGCTTCCAACTTCAAGGTGATGAGCGAAACGTCATCACCAGGTGCAGAGACACACAATGATCGTGTATCTGGAGCAACTTTCGTCAAGAGATTTTCAAATTATCTTGAGGTTGCTGGATCAGTAGGGCGCTCCACCCCTACTGACCCCGAACATTTTTTGATGGTCCGTTTCGCTGTTGCGGCTTCGCAACAGCGTTGGACCCACGCCCATTGCCCTTTCTGGCAAATGGACGACCATTTCGATCAGTACTGCTTGGTACTGGGCGTGGAGCACTACACTCATGTGCGAAGTGCCCTAACTTCTGACATCGATTGCACGTCAGCAATCGCTTGTTGTTTGAAGAGCGAGGTCTCTCGCTCTCAACATAGCAGAGGTCCATTGGTTATGGACCCCCGATCTCTTGTCGTCTCGGTGGACGATAAGAGTTTGAGCTAGCATGAGCCTGTCTCATGCTAAAGTCTTCCTGTTCCGCGGCTGATATCGCTTCTTCCAGCGTATTCAGCTCAAGGCGGAACAGGTGGCTCCTGACGGACCCTTCTGCGAGCCCTTGCATGAACACCGTAATCAACGTATGTTCATGGACTGGGTTAGCAGTTATACTACTCGTGAGGTGTCGTATATGTTGAGCGTAAGCGTGCACATCACGCTTACCCTGCTTGAGTTTCAGGAGCTCAGAACGAGCCCTGAATTCAGCGCGTGGCGGCTCAAACGTTTGTCTGAGCCGGGCCTTGAAGTAATCTAGCGACCTAAACACATTTGGGTCGCTACTCTCGAGTCCCAGGGACCAAGTTTTGACACGTCCTGCCAAGTGGGTTTGAGCAAATGTGAGTTTCATTTGCTCATCTTCGACGCGACGAGCCCTTAAGGCTCTGTCGAGTTCGACAAACCACAGTAACAGGGAGTCCTCCGGGACTCCACTGTACTCGGAGATGTCAACCTTCATGACCTCGGGACGACGCGCATGTGCCGTCCCGCCCACAGCAGCATGGAATTGCTGCTGTCTCAACAGCTCTGTCTGTTGAGCACCGAGTTCTCTCAACTGCTCGGCCTGTTGAGAGCCTTGCTGGTGAAGCAAGGCTACTTTTTCCTTTCGGCGACAAGTTCACTTTGGATGAACTTGGCCATAGCGGCATGTTGTTGGTCTCTATCTAGAGACTCCAACATGGCGCTAATGGCGAACTCGCCTATGGTAGAGCTCATTCGTTCTACCGCACTCCATTCGATGTCACTCAAATGGTTAAACCCTTCACGCGTGGCGTGAAAGATTTCTTCGTCATCCAACATGTTCATGTTGGATGCTGTGGGCCTTGGAAGGACTACAAAGTGCTACCAGGTGTAACGGGGCACACCCTTGCGTGAACTTAACGCAAGGGTTGAGGTGCCCCGACAGACGTACACAAGGCAAGCGAGGAAGCGTAGATAGGGGAAAAGTAAAACTGTTGTATTAATATAATTAAGTCTTTTTGCTACCATCTCTCTGCTTAACCTGACTTAATTATGTTAATGTAACTGAGTGTATGGTGACGTCTCGTCACCACTCATTGCGCGCGTCCTGCGGCGATTGGTGGGTTGATATCATCAAGATATCAACCAATGAGCAGACCCTTTGGTCGCTTCACCAATATCACCACTATCGGTGATATTGTTCAAAGAATATTCACTTAATATTCTTTGTTGTCACTTTCTTTAAAGTGACACTTCCCCTGAAACGGGCTGCCCCGTTGCACAGATCGGTGGTTTGCGACATCTCAATATTCGGAGATGGGGCAGATGATCTCGATTTGTTTTTTATCGTAGTGAAGCTTTCGCACAGCATTGAGGCATAGCCCGCGGATAATGAGCATTGTGCATGGCATTGGCGAGATCGCTGAACTGGCCGCCCGCAAAGAGCGTGTCAATCTTCCACATCACATCGTCTGAGACTACAAATTATGCCTAGCTTCAGCTTTTCGAACGTGGCTACGCGACCGGATACTTCGGGATGTCAAGTAAGAATAATTCGTCATGACCACCTGGGCGTTACGGATCTGAACCGGTATAAATTGACTCGCTGCCGTGGCAAGCACCTCAACTCGCGTCGATCATACTATGCATTCTGATTGGTATCCTTCTATACGCTTCAATACACTACCGTTGTCTACAGAATTCCTCATAGAGCGAGGAGCGATAAACACAACTTTCAGAAGCTATTATGTGGCACCACTCGACATTTACGGTCAGTAGCAGACATAAACAAACGACCCAGGCATGCTTGAGACGCTAAGGGGTTCGGAGGAGGATAGGTATCGTCTCCATCGACGCCGAATATGTACTCAGAATCTCAAGCGATGTGAAGTAGTCTGGGCCGAGGTCGCTACTTTTCTGCGTGAGTAGCGGGCGAAAAACGAAGCAGATTGGAGACTGCCAGTGGCACTGGCTCAAGCTAATCTGGACACAACAGCACAACAAATGGCTGACAACTGGACATGAGAGCTGAAGTCAGCGCATGGATGACAGCGCGGCAGGAAGAAGGAGCGAATGTCAACAGCTATGATAAGAGTCTATGAAGCGACTAGCGACACAGCTAGTTGCCACCAGGATGAGCCACGAGTTCCTTGTCGAATGTCATGAAGTATCCCGACTATCGAATCCATCTACATTCAGAGCACAAGAAGTTTAGACAACTTACGGCGGGGTGATAGAATGCCTAAGAACGTCGATGACGACAAGTTTGCGCTGTGCCCACTGCATCGGACCGGTACGATAGCTAAAACACACATTCAGCTAGTTCCAACATGAGACCGACTTCAGGATTAGACTTCCCGATACGGGGCTGTCACATTTCCTGAGAATACACAACCTGGGACTATGGCAACAGGCATACTCATGGCAACTGACACACTAACAACAACAGCAGGTATTCCGTTTCTGTAAAGTTCTTCATCTCGGATTCGCGTATTGGGTGTCGAAGAGACACAATGCAGTCCCTAGGCTTTGTCGACACTTTTGACAAAATCGATTATGCTTGTCCCTACACATGCAAGATCGTAGCGAACTAGCAATGCAGTGAGAGTGAGCATCCAGTTTTCTCTCGGCCATCGTAGTCGTCCATCGTCGTGCGTGATCAGGGTGCGACACCTGCCCAAGTTCTTGCGCACAAGAAAGGAGTAGTGTCGTTGTTGTCTGCGCATCTACACCTACACTATAGTTTGACTCTTTCAAGAACGTGTGCAGCTATGTGACCACTATCCAGCACATTGCACATTGCCAGTCCAGCATGTAAGTGTGGCATTGACCGCGAAGTCAAAAAGGGCAAACAAAGTACACGAAACACCCGGTTCCCGCGCACGTCGACGAACGGCCAGATATACGGTACTGACTCTGATCAAGCACTAAGTTGTGCGTGTATGTGCGGGAAGGTAAGTTATGACCAGCAAAGTGAGAATGCGATGACTGCCATACAGATTGCCATAGTGTCGTGTCAAAACGATCAAAACGCTGAATCTGCATTTTGGGCACTGGCCATTTTGTACGCACTTCGTATCTTTTATCCCACTTGAAGCTCGTGAGCGAACAAGCCGACCGTGATTGGCCATATCTTTTCCAGCCGATAGTGACGAGAAAAACTGCTCTTCAATTGCATGGGATCAAGTCGTTGGTCGGTCACGTATTTTTTGTGATTTGTCCCCCAAGTACCAAACGAGCGCAAACGTACAGTGGGGCGGGCGAATGCACGTTACCTGCAGCCCTACTACCGCTGCGTAAAAATACTCGCAAACTGTGGACGCACCCTCACCCAATATCCTACGCGCCCTCGGCTGTCATCGCCCCATCCCTCGATGCCGACGAGCTTGTAACGCGTGAGCTGCATGTATGTTGCGGCTTACACGCGAATGTTTACGCATCTTGTGGGGCTTCAGACTGACGCAATATTTTACTTGCCTGCTGCCCTAGAACCGATCGTAAATTACGCTGTACCCCTACTCGACAAACTTGAAACGCAGTGTTGGTCTCAGTAGGAGGAAGAGGAGTGGAAGCACTGCTATAAGTAGTAGTATTAGTGGTAGCAGTAGTAGTAGTAGTAGTAGTGGTAGTAGTAGTAGTAGTAGCCAGTCGTGACAGAAAAGTGCTATTTTTACTTTCGACGTATAAAACCGACACGACGACTGCTCTCGCACAACCCACCCACATGGAGTCCGCGTGTGTCGAAGGAACGCGAGTTACCGCTACGTCGACGGAAAAGCGGATGCGCTGGCGACACGACAAGAGCGTCAGTCCATCCACTAAGAGCGCTGGAAGCTCATCGAAGGTGCATTTCAATAGCAGCAGTAGCAATCGTAGTATAGCAATAGCGGCAGCAGGTGCCTCTAGCACTGGAAACCAATGGCAGAGACATACGTCGACGACGCTCAAGACAGGGGGAAAAGCGCGACCGCTGCGTCCGTTTGCCCGACGTCTTTGGATGCCGGTGAGCGTTTTGGCCTTTTCAAGTTGTTTCCCGCTCCAGCTTCGGCTCGCAGTGGTCGAGCTACGGATTTGTTGGCAAAGAACAAGACCCCGAGTCCATCGTCGCCTCCATTGCCAATGGCTGCGGCGTTTGAATTTCCGGCTCGTATAGAGAATCGGGCCGCTGCTTCGTCTGATATCTTGTGGTCCGTGGGGAGGTCAAACAAACGGGGCACACCTAGGAAAGACAGAAGGAATGGCAAAAGCTCATTGTCCGTATCGTCCGTCGGGCGGTTGAGAACCCGTGTGGCAACGACTCGGAGTACGGCAGTGCCGTGCGATGTCACCAACGACAACGACATGAGAGTGTCAGATGCGGGAGCGAACTTGTTTGCCTTTTCCATGCTGCAGACTCGATCGAGTCGAGGTTCTGGTCGTGCAAATTCGAGCACGACAGCATCGAAGAGCAAGAAGACGGGTGACTGTGCTGCAGTGGGTGCATGTCAGTTCAAAGCTGAAGCGAAACTCTCGCGAGTCAAAGAGTCTGCATTTCCACCGACTGTACCTTCGACCGCATCAGTGGCCTCGGCAACAGCCTCGTCCAAGTCACAGTCGTTTTCGACGGTGGACCCGCTTGTGCTTCGCGCCCGTGCTGTTCTACAGGACTGTATCAGGACCCGCAAGAGGGAACAAAGCAATGCTCGGAAGCGCTCCATTGAAGGGTGCTTTGGTGGAGACCAGTCTGAAAGCAAGTGGCATGGCTGGCATGATGACTTTATCTCGAAGCCTACGGAGTACGGAGTAGTAAGCCCTCGCTCAAGGTGAGTTTGGAAAAGTAGTTGCAGCTATCACGTGTCGTCGATCTTACGCCAACGTTCTTCCGGACGACGCTTTCGTACAGCTACAGCAGCGACGATGAGCTTAAACATATTTCGTTGGTGGACCAGCCTTTGTGGTGCGTCGTAGGAAACCGTGCAATGTCGCGGGTGCTGATTTTAACGGTAGTGCTATGCGAACTGTTTGCAGCTCGGAGAAGTCCGACCGGGGCTGCGATAGCAAGCTGGCCCAAGAGGAGATGTACCGCCAGATTCTCGTGGGAGATTTCGACCTCAGCAGCAGCCCAGAGTATCGTTGCTTCAGCCCTTCGTTTGAAGAAAAGTGCGTGGGCCATTTGTAAACGATGTCGCGCACTATGCATTGCTTGTCATGGCTAACTGTTTGGCGTTTGTTGTTCAGGGGACTGCCCGTCGAAGTTCGGTATCAGCTGCCGCTCGCGCTGGGTACAGCCAACGAAACTTGCAAAGAATGCGCGATTTGCCAACTTTATTATGGCATAGGCGACCACATCGTCACGCTTCCATGTCAGCACTTCTTCCAGTACGTTCTGAAGTATCTGGCAGTGATGATAACTATACTGCGCGCTACAGATGGGATTTTAACGCGTTCACGTCTTGATTTGCAGTGCGTGTTGCGTGGACAAGTGGCTATGGGACCACACGTCCTGTCCGCTTTGCCGAACAGAAGTCACTCTCGACCAGATGACGGAAGCGCCCAGCATGGCACACAAGTTCACCGAGTGTTCTCCCCTGGATCGGGAAACGATTCGCCGTCAACTGCGCTCTTCTTCGCTGCACACAGGCTTTCGGTCCGTCGTTCCGGGTATAGCACGAGTCGAATTGCTGAAGATGCTGCCACTTTGCTTCGTGCTAACGGCAATCTTTGTGTTGTCTGTGGATTGTGTGCAGTAGAAATCGATGAATGTGAGCAAGCAGTGTCGCGCATGGCTATCGACGACGGCTTGGAAGCTGAAGAGGAGCCAAGTGGTCTTATTTGGTACGCTCGTCGAAATGTGTAGAGATGCCGCTGTCTTGCTCGTGTCACTCACTCACTTTCTTCTCCTTCTTCACCTCCTTGCTCAGCCCGACTCCCCACTTCGCCACACATGTCCAGGACAAGCGACAGTGACTGGCGACAAAAGAGCGCCACATCGTTGCCAGGTCGCTCTCACTGCGAAAAAAAGTCGTCCCTGCTTTGCACAAATGCATGACGAGCCCCGTGGTCCGTGGTGCGCTCCACAGTGATTGGCGTTGCCGTCGCGTCACGGCGCCAGATTCTTTTGCGTCGACTGCGATCGATGTGGCTTCAAGGATGAAGGGCAGACAAGAATGGATGGGGTCAGCTTTTCCACCTTGTACTGCCTGTTGTGAATCGTGCAAATCGCAGAGCGTTAACAAAAAGAGGACACAATACAGTGCGAATTTGGCTTTGACGTTTGCCCGCCGAAATTGGTGTGCGCAACACATTTACGTGGCGCATCCTTTGTACGTCTGTCACTTAGCAGTTACTTCAAGAAAGCGCCACTAGTGGACGCGCACAAAGCGTTCGACACCCGCGCGCGAGAAGTACGAAAAGGATGGACACCGACGACGAGAGCACAATGATGTACTTCCTGCCCGACGGCATCGCGGACGACTCGCCCCGGAAGAAAACGTGCGTCTCCTCTATCTATATCTGCTGTTTCGTTGTCACAACTCTTCGTATTGCGCACGATATCGTTTGTTGTTGGCTCACTTCTTGCTCTTGGTATATCTATGACAAACATACAGTCAAGCGAAGGCCAGTTTTGGTGCCATTGGCGGGCGAAGTGCGCCTACTGAACGCGACTCTTCGACAGCCACGTTTCGTGGAGATCCTGCACATATCCTCACGGCTTCAGTGGCTCCGAACCTGAGGAGTAACACGCGTTCACGCGAACTGTATGCCCATCGCCGCCCTGCACTGGAGACGTCACCTTTTGGGTCAAATGGAAGCTCGATTGCGTCCAACAGTCCTTCCAGCTTTTTCCCATCTAATTTGGGAGGAGAAGGGCACGGACCACGAGTATCTGGAGACTTTGGGGACAGCGGGCGATCCATTTTGAGATCAAGTGGACATTTCGGGGTTGGAAGACCGTATGGATCCAGATTGTCGGCCGATACTGAAGCGATGCGATTGCGGACCTCAGTGTTTGATCGCGAACAGAAAGCTGCCAAGAGCTTTGTCTCTGCGCAGAGAGAGTTCGAGAGAAGTACTGGGGTGACTGGATCTTATGGCACAGTGGCTCAGCACTACTACCGGGGGGAGATATCGACGCCATGCTTGAACACTAGAGAAAGTGACGCGTCGTGTATATTGACTACAACCAAGACGTGGCCGGTCTCGGGGACAACATCGCAGCCGCGTCGCCTGTTACGTCGCCCACCGGGACTGGCTGGCCCTCCTGGGCTTGAGGAGTCTAGTATGGTGAATGGAGCGCAGTCTTATATGAACGTGCGGGGTGGAAGTAACTTGATACAGTCGCCAGCGTATCAGACCCAATCTGATCCTTACCACTACCCGACGCCGTCACGTGTGGCTGGTGGAAGAGCTTCGAGCACAGATTACTTGAGTGGCAAGGACCAGGGCAATCAAAGTTTACCCTACAGCTCGAGCTCGTCATCTGGTGCGTATGGAAACAGCTTGTCACACGATCAGACCCATCGCCGAGCTGCGCCGAACCGGGAATCAGTCGAGCCGAACACGCATTCGGTGAAAGTGCGTCAGGTAGATGGTAGACATGCTCGACAAGCGGCCGGCTCATCATCAGCGATGCACGATTCCCGCACACCAACGACGTCGAGACGAGTTGATGTACAGTCGATGTCAAAGACACCGTGGAGCCTAAAGAAAGCTCGACATGATCGAAACAAGTCCGAAGGTTCGTCGAATCTGCGAGTAAATGCATTGGAGTTCAGCACAGATGCCATGAACGTTTTGAGACCGAGATCCCCAGCAAGACCGAATCGCTCGGATCGCTGGCGTGATACGGCGTCTCCTATGACCGCAAGCTCCTCTTCTTCGAACGAGAACTACCGTAGCAGTAGTGACTCATCAGGGCCGAGAGGCGGGGGTCGCTACCAGGCCAGCAACAATGGCGAATCGTCTCCGATGCTGGGCACCGTCAGCAAAGAAAGCCGCGTGATGGAAACAGCGAGTCGGGCAAAAACGCCTGGATCTTTGGTTACCTCTCGACATGTTGAAAGTGATAGTCCTGTCGAGTCAGCTACGCTTGAGTCCTGTAAACCGAGACGCCATGAGGAAAGCAAAGTTCCAAGTCGTGGCACCTCAACGATGACCTCCGCGCGAGTGAGCGAGAAAGGGGCAGGCATCACCGGTCGCCAAGTGTACCGAAAGAAAAAGAGAACGGGGGAGAGCTCAAAAGATGTGACGGTTCCGGATGAAGTCGCACCGACTTTTGCCAGTGCACCATTGAGTTTGCATACAGTTGAAGCAAGTAGTGAAGGCATCACGACTGGAGGAGGTTTATACAAACATGGGAAAAACTCGGCACGTGATACTGCAAGCAGTGTTTCACCAAAGACATCAGAGACTATTTCGGACATGGACGACATTGCAGAACCCGATTCTACTACCGTGAAAAGAACTGTTGGGAAGCACGGCGAATCAGCGAGTAGTCGCGGTGTCGATGCAGCGGACGACGACAAAGGCATATCACTAGTTGCTGGCTCGTCTCATGGTACACCGGCCGCGGATTCTGCAAATAGTACGGAACGTGGCCAGCTATCATGCCCGAGTACGTCGTATAGCGATGGGACGAAAGAGCCGTGCATACTGCAGTCGGATGCTACAAGAGCAACGGTGTCCGTCGATCAAGAGCTTGGAAAGCCGAAGAAGTCGGGGAGAAAAGAAGCCGTATTGGCTGTACCTCGAACGGAAAACAGCAACTCGCGCGCAACAACCGCTGCAGTCGTGGCATCTCTGTTTCCGGGTTCTCCAAGCGCTGCAAATGTTGACAAGGAAGACCGTGCGAAGGAACACAACAACGAGAAGACCAAAAAGGAAAAGACGGAAAAGAAGAAGACTTCTCGCGCAAAGAAACACAAGCGACAGCCATCTCTGGTTCCTGCGGCAGCAGACGCGACACAGCCCGACAACTTGGTGGTGAATGCACAAGAAGAGACACCGAAAGTATTGTCCCCTAAAAGTCTTTTGCTGTTCGCGTTGATAACTCGGATACTGCGCATTTGGGGCTCAGCAGCCTATTCGGCTGGACAGCCTGCTTTTGTACGAATACGAAATGGCTACGCTCGGGTTGTCGAATGGTTCGACGCAAACGGTCCGTTTGCTGCTGCTCTTTCTTACGTGGAATCGGTACTAGCGATGGTGGTCAGCATGTTGCTGCTGTTCTCTCTGCATGCTGTGTCATGGTTCATCCACATCCACCGAGTCGCGTTCCGCGCGATCGTGACTCATCATCACATCGGATTCAGCTTCGCTTTCCTGTATGGCTTTCCGTATCTGGTCCAGCATGTTTTCCCATGGGCACCACCTTGGGCGCCCGTGTGCCTCTGGTATGCGTTCCTAGTTCAACTGTTTTGCACGAATGGGCCAACAGCTATCGTCACGACATTCCGAGTGATCATACCGCTCGTCTTTCTGATCGAGGGCATTTCTCACCACAGTTTTCTTCTGGATTTGAACGGTATGCTTTGTACACGCAGTGCTTGTACAACACAGTGCTCAGATTGGTGACTTGCTTTGTGTCCAGGTGCGGAGCTTCTGCTCACTTCGTTCATCATTTCCGCGCTAAAGACGAGCAGCCTGTGTTCGCCGATCTTTTTCCTGTCACTAGCGACACAGGTACACTAGTGTGCGATTAATGCTGAACACTTGTTTGTGTACTGACGCGGTTGTACTTGCAGTGTTTGCTTGCTGTTTTCCTAGGATCAGAACTGATTGTGCAATGGCTGCAGTTGGCACTGGCACTCTACTCGCTGCATGCTATGGCTGCGAGCGACGACGAATGGGTACAAGACTTGACTCAGTGTTGACTATGGTCCTATCTGGCTTTGCTAATGTTGTTGAGTCTGACTGTTTCCATGCACATGTGAAACATAGATCGGTATCCGAGAAGAAGAAGACGACCTGTCATGCCGCCTCGTATCGATGCATCATTCAATCGCAACTTACAACCACCGCCCTGCGCCATCAGGTCCCGTGTCCGTCCAAAAGACTAAGCGGCCAGACCTTCGAGCTTTGGCATATGCCCGTGGACGCAAGGCGCGTCAATGGTCCCCTTTCTCGCGTTGATAAGACTGGCGCGACGCCGGTCGCTTGCATAATAAATGCCTATATTGCTCAACATGGGCCGTGTCTGATTGGTGTTGCGATGTGGGAATGCGATTTCAGCTGCCACGGATCGACTCAGCTTGTAGCTGATGGCAGCGGTATTATTGCGTAAGTCTGCCTTGCAGCAGCTACCATCTGCGTCAGCTGCACTCGGCCCAAGCCACGACAAAGGACGCTGGTGTGGCCTATGCAGGGCAACGAAAAGGTAAATGTGTCGTCCCCGGGCGGTTTGTACATTTGACGCTGCCCAGATTGATGGTCGGCGGTCCGAGGTAGGCACTTGCGTCGAGTCACTGCGGGAACGGGTTCCTTTGGACTGTGCCGACGTACAGTCGACAACCACGCCGATATATATTCGGAGACCCTACATTGCACAAGTCGCGCATGTTACCAGGCAGCCAACGTCGCCCGACTCAGTAGAGTTCGTGAAAATGGTGGTGCCAATATCAGCAGCTCTCTCCGACTTGACCTGCGTGAGTTCTGCACCAGAAGACAAGCTGGCGATGTCTGATCCCGATTGAGCGTGCGTGTCCCGTGACCTGTTGTGCCCCGTATGGATGCGTCATGGAATACGTCTTCAGGAGATATCGCGGTTGACTAATGCGGGATTGCATTTGCCGGAGCTGGACCTGTACGAACGCGTTTGTCCAGCTTGACATTGGCAGAAGTGCGCTCGGAGCTCAAGCAGCGGACCTTGTTGCCTAACTCTCCATCGCTAGAAGGTCAGCAGTACGCTTCGTTTACAGCTGGATCGGCCAGACACCACGCTAGCAGAAAAAGGATGCACCGGAATGCTGCAGTGGCTGCACAAAAGCACAACCTGTGGGTAAAAACTCGATCCTGCACTTATTGAAGCCATGCTGTCATGCTACAATGGCCGTTGGTCGAACGAAGACTTTGACATGCAAAATGCCAACGTACAAGTCTCCGGATCGTGTTGCAAATGATGGACGTCTCGGTAAGATCAACTGCTGCCTGCTCGATGATCCGACGAAATTGCGATCTCTTTCACCTACCAGCTGCAACATGGAACAACTACTTCGTCCGGTTTGAGAGAATAGTGTCTTCTCTGCAATCGGACGAAAAGGTTGTGCACTGCAACAGCAAAACTGGTGTGGAGCGCCAAGACATGGACAAAGCAGTTGTCGAGCGAATCGTTTTGAAGGATGCACAGCGATAGCGGTGGTGGGCTTCGTACCATCAGAATACGATAAATGGCCCACCGATGGTCGATGAAGATGCACCGACAAAGCGGTGGAAAACACTGCAACGAATGGGCGCGTGTGTGTTGGTTTGACGTACACCGCGTCGCAGTATGCAACGTATGTTGACCGACTTTTTCTACATGTCGAACGAATGTCTGGACACACAATACGTTGTGGCGGACATGACATTGAAGTGCCCATACACTCGAAAGACGATTTACCAGAAACAGCGAGCAATGTCATGCGTCACTATCGACGCGCTTACTTGGTGCTGTTGTCCTGTCTTAATCGGAATACACGCTAGAAGGCAGTAGTCGACTCATGGACTGGATTGTGGTACTGTGATGAAGCACGACGTACCCCATCAAGGTATCACCTCCAGCTAGGTACCTAAAACGCGCTCTTGATGATCTTTTCAAACTCCGGCTTGAGCGAGGCGCCGCCAACGAGGAATCCGTCGACGTCGTCGAGGGCAATGAGCTCCTCGCAGTTGTCGCCCTTGACGGAGCCGCCATAGATGATACGGATATTCGCCGCCACTTCCGAAGACACCTTGTCAGAAAAGTAGGCACGCAGCTGCTTGTGGGCCTCTTGCGCCTGCGCAGGCGTTGCAACGACACCGGTGCCAATGGCCCATACGGGCTCGTAGGCAACAACGACACGGGCCCAGTCGGCTTCGTTTACAATCTCGGCTAGCGCCTGAGTCTGCCGGATCAGGACATCCAACGTCTGATCATTCTGACGCTCCTCAAGCGACTCGCCGATGCAAAAGATGACCTGAAGACCCACGTCCAGCGCACGTTTCGTCTTTTTGGCTACAATCTCATCGGTCTCGCCATACAAAGCACGACGCTCCGAGTGACCCGCGATGGTCCACTTGAGCCCAAAGTCAACGAGCTGTTCGGCTGCAATCTCGCCCGTGTATGCACCGAGACCCGTGAGGCTCAAGTTCTGCGCACTGACAGCAATCGTGTCCTGCAAGAGGGACTTGGCCAGTGCAATGTGAAGGGCGGGAGGAGATACGACCACCTCCACCTTGTCCGAGGCAATGTCCACTTTGTTGAGCTGCGTGCAGAGGTCAGTGACGGATTGGGTCGTGCCGTTGCACTTCCAGTTGCCCCCAATGACGTACTTGCGGACACCCATGACGAGAACGAGGAGGAAGAGGAGATGGATACAAATGGGAATGGATGGGTGGTGGCGAGCGTTTCCCTGTTTAAAGTGATATGAGCAGCTGGCACAAACCCACGATACGTTGTTTACGTAGTAGGGCCGGACGAACAAGTGACGCAACGACGTCATCACACTACCACAGTCGCGACCATCTCGTCGATGCGTCAACGGCTCAATTGCTTCGTGTGTGCATACTGGACTTTCATCGTAGTCTGACGGATGTTTCTTCATTCGTGGAGTGCTTCTTTGCAGATTGATGCAATTATATAGTGTAGTCAGCAGTCGGCGAATTTCAATCTACTGAACGACCACACTCCATCGCGTGTGTGCGACAAGACCAACGACACGCTTCGTGACCGTTGACAAGCACGAGCTTCTCAGGTGTGAGGACAGCTGAAGTAGCGAAAAGAAGATAAACTGAAAAGTGAATCAATGCCATGGAGAGAGGCAGACGCGTCGATTCGGTCTTCAGTGGTTGCAAGATGTCTGGTAGATACGAAGCCTGGTTAGCAGGTCGTTCGGTTCCTCGGATGTAACGGGGCGGCCCGTTACATGGAGTTGTCACTATAAAGAAAGTGACAATAAAGAATATTAAGTTGAATATTCTTTGAGCAATATCACCGATAGTGGTGATATTGGTGAGGCGACCAAAGGGTCTGCTCATTGGTTGATATCTTGATGATATCAACCCACCAATCGCCGCAGGGCGCGCGCAATGAATGGTGACGAGACGTCACTATACACTCAGTAATATTAACATAATTAAGTCAGGTTAAACAGAGAGACGGTAGCAAAAAGACTTAATTATATTAATACAACAGTTTTACTTTTCCCTTATCTACGCTTCCTCGTTTGCCTTGTGTACGTCTGTCGGGGCACCTCAACCCTTGCGTTAAGTTCACGCAAGGGTGTGCCCCGTTACATCTGGTAGCACTTTGTAGTCCTTCCAAGGACCACAGCATCCAACATGAACATGTTGGATAATGAAGAAACCTTTCACGCCACGCGTGAAGGGTTTAACCATTTGAGTGACATCGAATGGAGTGCGGTAGAACGAATGAGCTCTACCGTAGGCGAGTTCGCCATTAGCGCCATGTTGGAGTCTCTAGATAGAGACCAACAACATGCCGCTATGGCCAAGTTCATCCAAAGTGAACTTGTCGCCGAAAGGAAAAAAGTAGCCTTGCTTCACCAGCAAGGCTCTCAACAGGCCGAGCAGTTGAGAGAACTCGGTGCTCAACAGACAGAGCTGTTGAGACAGCAGCAATTCCATGCTGCTGTGGGCGGGACGGCACATGCGCGTCGTCCCGAGGTCATGAAGGTTGACATCTCCAAGTACAGTGGAGTCCCGGAGGACTACCTGTTACTGTGGTTTGTCGAACTCGACAGAGCCTTAAGGGCTCGTCGCGTCGAAGATGAGCAAATGAAACTCACATTTGCTCAAACCCACTTGGCAGGACGTGTCAAAACTTGGTCCCTGGGACTCGAGAGTAGCGACCCAAATGTGTTTAGGCCGCTAGATGACTTCAAGGCCCGGCTCAGACAAACGTTTGAGCCGCCACGGGCTAAGTTCAGGGCTCGTTCTGATCTCCTGAAACTCAAGCAGGGTAAGCGTGATGTGCACGCTTACACTCAACATATACGACTCCTCGCGAGTAGTATAACTGCTAGCCCAGTCCATGAACACACGTTAATTTCGGTGTTCATGCAAGGGCTCGCAGAAGAGCCTGTCAGGAGCCACCTGTTCCGCCTTGAGCTGAATACGCTGGAAGAAGCGATATCAGCCGCGGAACAGGAAGACTTAAGCATGAGACAGGCTCATGCTAGCTCAAACTCTTATCGTCCACCGAGACGACAAGAGATCTGGGGTCCATAACCAATGGACCTCTGCGATGTTGAGAGCGAGAGACCTCGCTCTTCAAACAACAAGCGATTGCTGAAGTGCAATCGCTGTCAGAAGTTGGGGCACTTCGCACATGAGTGTAGTGCCCCACGCCCATTACCAAGCAGTACTGATCGAAATGGACGACCATTTGCCAGAAAGAGCAATGGGCGTGGGTCCAGCGAAACGGACCATCAAAAAATGGACGGGGTCAGTAGGGGCGGAGCGCCCTACTGATCCAGCAACCTCAAGAGAATTTGCAAATCTCTTGACGAAAGTTGCTCCAGATACACGATCATTGTGTGTCTCTGCACCTGGTGATGACGTTTCGCTTATCACCTTGAAGTTGGAAGCGACAAATGATTTGTCGCTTCGTGCCCTAGTAGACTGTGGGGCGTCGAACAACTTTGTATGTCGCCATTCACTAGAGGGTCGTAGGCTCAAGTTCGTTGAGCGCGACATTCCCCTCACGAGGATGACGGTGCGCCTTGCAACAGGCGCATCGATTACCGTTGAGAAACGTGTAGTAGGAATCCACTACACGTTGGAGGGCGAACAGTACGATGATGACTTCATCGTACTGGATCTGGATGACAGATTTGATGTCATCCTGGGATTACCTTGGCTCAGAAAGTACGAGCCAAGGGTGAGCTAGCAGCATCTATCCGTGAAGATGCCTGCCGCTTGTTCATCAGATGGCCATCTGATGAACATCTTGGAGCGTCCACAAGCGTGTGGATGTTCTGCAAGTGAGTGCGATGGCCTCACTTGCGGTACGGTCGCTAGCACGACTACACAAGATCACAGTGTAGTTGATCACTACACTGTGGAGCAATCTGCCGGCGGCTGTACAGAAGTACAGGAGGCGCTGGAGGTCCGCCACTCGAAGAAGTCGAGTGGACTGGGACGTGGATGTACGCCTAGCGGGCGACATCCTAGCAAGAGTAAACCGGTTGCCCACAAGCGGCAACACGGATATCCTAGGTCGACTGGAGAGTCGACCGTAGAGGATCGGTACCTGACTGTGGTTGCACAGCCACAGTCAGAAGACGTCGAGGGAATAAGTCCCCACGTACTTGAGGAATGAATTCCTCAAGAGTCACTTGCTGAAGGATCAGGCCTTCAGCAACCTGTGGAAAGAAGTTCCCAGGAAGTAACCGAGACGTTGAACGTCTTGGTTAATGACGGATCAAGCGTAGGCGCTTATACGCTTGATCTGATTGTGCCTCCGAAGTTAACTTCGGAGATAACTCAGTTGCCAACGCTAGAACCGAAACGGTTCTTGCGTGATCTGCGTAGTGGCAAAGTCAAGCAGATCTGCATACTCGTCACAGAGGATGAGTATGTGGCCGATATTCGGTCGGCGACAGTATTTGCTGAGAACGAATGGGTTCTCAGCAGCTCATCGATGGACGAAAGTGTCCTTGATGAGAAGACTCGGATTGAGCGATACACGTATCAATACTGGGAGTCACTTCAAGCAAATCCTTTGTACAAGGATTTGATCGAATTCAGGGATGTGTTCCCTGAATCCGTACCGTGCGAGTTGCCTAAGGACAAAGGCACTCGACACGAGATCGAGCTCAGACCGGGCTCGAAGTACTGTGTCATGAAGCAGTGGCCACTGCCTCGTGAACAAGTACTAGCGATCGACAAGTTCTTTGACGATCGCTTAGCAGTGGGCCATGTGAGGAAATCAACATCCCCTCACAGATCTCCGACCTTCTGTGTTCGAAAGGTCACAGGAGGATGGCGGGTAGTGCACGCATTCAACAAGTTGAAAGCTGCAACGGTACCGGCTCAGACGCCGATACCGATAAAGGAAGTAATCATAGATGGTATGCCAAAGAGTACCATCTTTTCGTCCATGGATCTGATGGATGGATTCTATCAGATCCTCATGCGTGAAAGGGACATCCCGTACACAGCAGTAAGCACCCCCAGCGGTATGCTGTGGGAGTGGCTAGTGATGCCACAGGGGCTGAGCAATGCCCCTGCCAATTTCAACAGATGTGTTACAAATCTGTTGAGACCGGTGCGAGACTTCGCACCGAGTTACTTCGACGATGTGTTCGTCCATAGCCGGGCTACTGGACGGAAAGACGGACGTTGAAGTTCATAGAACTCACGTTCGTCAAGTCCTTCAACTTATGCGCAAGCATAAGTTGTATGCCAACCCCAAGAAGTGTATATTCGTGGCTAGCAAAATACCACTTCTTGGGTGCATCGTGGGTAAACACGGCGTACGCCCTGATCCCGAAAAGATCAAGGCGATCACCGACTGGCCAGTGCCAGTCGATGTCAAGGGACTAAGGAAGTTCCTTGGACTAGCGGCGTACTTGCATAAGTACTCTCGCAACTACGCCGAAATGACGGTACATCTTTCTTGTTTACTCAAGAAAGATGTCAAGTGGTCATGGAACGCTGAGTGCCAGCGTTCCTTTAAAGGTATCAAGCGGAGCTTGATGCAGTCGCCGATATTGGCGATTGCAGATCAGAATTGACCATTCCATGTGGTCTGTGACGCCAGCGATTTTGCGATCGGCTGTGCGTTGATGCAATTTAATGCAGATGGCGCAGAGCGCGTCATCTGTTATCAGTCGCGTCAGCTGCAAGCAGCTATGCGCAATTGCCCAGTGCATGACAAGGAACTCCTTGCCATGAAATATGCACTGGATAAGTTCCGGGTCGATCTATTGGGAGATAGACCGTTCATCGTGTATACCGACCATGCGTCACTACGCACGGCCGTAAACAGCCCACACCTCTCGCAGAGAATGGCGAGGTGGCTGTCTTTCTTCGCGGAGTACAACTTCTCCGTGGAGTATAAACCAGGACGACTAAACGTCGTCGCTGATGCGCTTTCGCGCCGGCCCGATTTCGATCCGGTCGCACAATTCAACAGTGAGGATAAGCCCACTGTTGCGACACTGACAGCCAGTGTTCCGTCGTCAAGCTTACTTAACGACGTACGAAAGGCATACGCAGAAGATAAGGATCTTCTGCGATTAATGGGTCATCTGGTGCATCCATCCAGTAAATCATTGAAGGATTTACCGGCTTTGTACCGATCCTCATCGGATCGGTACAC